CACATCAAAATAACACATCCCTCTCGCTCCACCAAGTCGTCGTTCCACTTAAAAAACGGGTCGTGCTTAAGCTCGTGAACGACAGGTCGTCTCTGTATAATCAACTTAGAACTGAGAGTTAATCAGGGTAGCAAAACTGAAAATACTAAGCCAACTCAGAGGCCATGTTGAAAAATTGTTTCCAATTGATGGAGTTTAGGGATTAGAAGGGATTTGGAAGGGATTGGGTTGTGGGAGAGGGTGTTGGGAGGGAGTGGGTGTGATGAGGGGACTAATGAGGGGTGAGGGGAGGTAGATGGAGGGAGGGGGAGTTAGCTGGTAGGGGGAGATGTTGGGGTTTTTTTCATCACCCCCATTAATAACACAATCACTGAGACAATTAACAACAACCACTGCAACAAAACAGACCATCACTCCAGACAATAACACCATCACTACAATAACACTCCATTACCCTACAATAAACGAACATCACTCCAACAAATTAACACAAACACTCTAACAATAACACCATCACTCAACCAATAACACCAGCCCTCCCACAAATAACACCATCACTCCAACAATAACACCATCACTCCAACAATAACACCATCACTACAATAACACCATTACTCCTACAATAACAACATCACTCCAACAATAACACAAACACTCTAACAATAACACCATCACTCCAACAATAACACATCACTCCAACAATAACCCCAAATCACTCCCAACAATAACACCTATCAACAATAACACCATACCCCAACAATAACACCATCACTCCAACAATAACCATCACTCCAACAATAACACCATCACTCCAAACAATAACACCATCACTCCAACAATAACACCATCACTCCAACAATAACACCATCACTCCAACAATAACACCATTACTCCAACAATAACACCATCACTCCAACAATAACACCATCACTCCAACAATAACACCACAAAGAATAAAAAGTGGACTCAACACTCTTTCTCCCAACATCCCCGTCACTTTCTAATCTCCATTTCCCAGTTACCCATTTAACTAACAACACACTCCAACACACTCCAAACCCCTTTACGTGAACTCCCATCACCTCCAAATCAGCAGTCTAGCACTCATGTAAGACAACTAAACCAACCCTTAACCCATCACTCAACTTAACACACTCATAGCACCTTCCAACACACTCTAGCACTTTCATCACACTTTTTAGCACCTTCCAACACAACACACTCTACACTCCAGCACACTCTAGCACCTTCCAACACACTCTAGCCCCTTTCCAGCACACTCTAGCACCTTCCAACACACTCTAGCATCCTCTAGCACCTTCCAACACACTCTTGAGTCAACCCTCTAGCACCTTCCAACACACTCTTGCACCTTCCAACACACTCTAGCACCTTCCAACACACTCTAGCACCTTCCAACACACTCTAGCACCTTCCAACACACTCTAGCACCTGTCCAACACACTCTAAGCACCTTCCACACACTCTTAGCACCTTCCAAACACCTATCTCCCTAGCACCTTCCAACACACTCTAGCATCCTCAAAGCACCTTCCAACACACTCTAGCATCCTCTAGCACCTTCCAACACACTCTAGCATCCCTGTAGCACCTTCCAACACACTCTAGCATCCTCTAGCACCTTCCAACACACTCTAGCATCCCTCTAGCACCTTCCAACACACTCTAGCATCCTCTAGCACCTTCCAACACACTCTAGCATCCTCTAGCACCTTCCAACACACTCTAGCATCCACTAGTACCTTCCAACACACTCTAGCACCCCTCTAGCACCTTCCAGCACACTATACCATCCCACTAGCACCTTCCAACACACTCTAACACACTCTAGCACCCTTTAGCATTCTATAACACATTCTAACACCTTACAACCCTTTGTAACACTCTTTAGCACCCTACAAGACAATGGTAGATTATAGGAAACACTGATAGATAGTAGAACACACAGGTACTCTCTAGAACACATTGGTACTCTCAAAAACAAATTTTTACACCCCAGAACACACAAGTACACACCAGAACACACTGGTACACTCCAGAGCACACTAGTTCACTCCAGAACACACAGGTACGTTCCAGAACACACAGGTACACTCCAGAACACACTACTACACTATAGTATACATTGCAACACTCCAGAACATATAGGTACACTTCAGAACACACAGGAACACTCCAAAACACACTGGTGCACTCCAGAGCATACTGCTACACTCCAGAACACTCTGCTACACTCCAGAACATACAGATACACTCCAGAACACACTGGAACACTCCAGAACACACCAGAACACGCCATAACACTCAGGATTCACTTATCATCAATAAGTTAAACCAGCGTAGAGGACACCCTAGATTTTATACACCCCAGAACACACAGGTACACCCCAGAACACACCAGTGAACATACAAAAACACATGAATGTGCTGGAGCAAATTACACACACTACTGAAGCTGAACAATGAACAAATACATTACCAGACCACTCGGGGCCACACAGCCAGGGACCACAGTGGTCCAGCTGGACCACTGTGTCACCACGCAGTCCCGGTCCACCACGCAGGTTCGAACCCTTTCTGCCACGTCCTCTCTTCCAGACAGACACTCACTGTGGGACATATTAATAATAATAATAATAATAATAATAATAATAATAATAATAATAATAATAATAATAATAATAATAATAATAATAATAATAATAATAATAATAATAATAATAATAATAATAAACCGGAAGATAATCTTATCTCTTAGGGATCTTAGTTCGGTTTAGTAAACAGTTGAAGATCTTACCTAAGAGGGAGGCTGGTGCCGTTCCAGTGAACGCAAGTCAGCTGTCTCTCTTGTCTCCCTACTTTAGGAAGAGCATCATCTCTCATTTTAGGAGATTTATCTCCCTCGAATACTTCTCGTGTCTCCCTCCAGGCTCTTACAGACTTCGAGAGAGGATCTTCTCGTGCGTCTCTCCATGGTCCTTCTGACTTCGACTGAGGGTCTTCCTGTGAATAGTCTCTCCAAGGTATTTCTGACTTCGACTGAGGGTCTTCGTGCGAATCGTCTCTCCAAGGTCTTTCAGACTTCGAGTGTGAAGGTTCCTGTGCGTTGCTCCAAGACTTTTCTGACTTCGTGGGAAGCTGCGCCTCAACGCTGTTGCTCGCTCGAGGTACTTCTTCGTCTACAGCTTCTAGTAAGGTAGCTCCTGTGTTCCCTTTGTTGTCTCCGTCAAAGAATATAGAGTTTTCTTCGAAGTATCTGTCTTCTGTGTCTTCTGGGATAGTTTCTGGCATGAGTGGGATTTGGCAGGGGCTCCACTCGCCCACTCTCAGTCTTGCTAGAGGCTCTGCGTTGTGGCTGGAGAGGGCGGAAGATACGGCCGATGGTAGGCATTCCATTATACAGGGCTTCGATTCGCTCAGAGGCTGGCATGGTGTACCCCCATTCGTTGGGGCCACAAGGACCGTACGTGTCCGTTTCTGGGACGAGTCGCAGGAAACGCATGGGCCCCAGGAACCCCATGGTCCTAAAACGCAGTCCTGGGGGCACGTGGTCGTACAGGCGATTTCCGTGGAAGGTTGAGGACCTGAACACTGGTCAGAAGTGGATGGTGAGCCATCCACTTCACAAGTGATGGTACGTGTTCTTCGTCCGTGACACCGGCCTTCCGAGTCCCTGGTACGGTCCTCTTGGAACCTGGCAAGGTGACCAGGAGTCCACCAGCCAGGACCCGTCTGCGGGAGAGATCACAACTGTTACATATCAGTGGAATATGTTTTATGACTCTGTGTGAAAAATACCGAAGTTACCCATGTGAGGATACCGTGTCACATATGTGAGGATACCGTGTCACATATGTGATGATACCGTGTCACATATGTGAGGATACCGTGTCACATATATGAGGATACCGTGTCACATGTGAGGATACCGTGTCACATGTGTGAGTACCGAGTTACAGGTGGCGTAGAGACAAAGAAGAAGAAGAAGAAGAAGAGGAGATGGAAACAAGAGGTTAAGAAGTCTAACACACGCACTCTCCTCTTACCAACTCATTGCCAACCTAACTCTTAACCTCCGTCTTGAATATTACATGAGAGAGAGAGAGAGAAGAGAGACGAGACAGAAGAGAGAGAGAGAGGAGAGAGGAGAAGAGAGAGAGAGAGAGAGAGAGAGAGAGAGAGAGAGAGAGAGAGAGAGAGAGAGATAGAGAGAGAGATGAGAGAGTTGAAAGAGAGAGTAGAGTTAGACCCAAAGACGACTTAACCAACCTTGTAAAACTCTGTGAAAGAGAGAGATGGAAGAAAGAGAGAGAGAGAGAGAGAGAGAGAGAGAGAGAGAGAGAGAGAGAGAGAGAGAGAGAGAGAGAGAGAGAGAGAGAGAGAGAGAGAGAAGAGAGAGAGAGAGAGAGAGAGAGAGAGAGAGAGAGAGAGAAGAAATACCTCAAGGAAATAGAAATTTGACTTAACAGGCAGCTTCATATAAGGGATTTTAATCTCCAGGAATTACCAAATCTGGGAGATTACTTTCTCCCCACCCCCTTTAAAATTAAATCTCCAGAGATTAATTTCCCAAAAATTCCTAATATTCAACCGACTAATATATATATATATATATATATATATATATATATATATATATATATATATATATATATATATATATATATATACATATATATATATATATATATATATTATATATATATATATATATATATATATATATATATATATATATATATATAATATATATTATTATATTATATATATATATATATATTATATATATATATATATATATATAATATATATATATATATATATATATATATATATTATATATATATATTATATATATTATATATATATATATATATATATATGCAGGGAGCCATACTGGCCCATGCTAGGTAGGTTATATCTCATACTCATCTTCGCGTATGTGAAACCACGTTCAAATTTGGGGAATGGGCGAAATGTCGACGGGTTTAGTAGATATAGATATTATCCGTGGAACAAGCTTCAACTGGAACAGTGTTTCGCCCCTGTGTAGAGCTTTACCATGGTTTGATAAAGCTCTACACAGAGTGAAACATGACTTGATAAAGCTCTACACAGAGTGAAACATAACTTGAGAAAGCTCTACACAGAGTGAAACATGACTTAATAAATCTCTAAAGCTCTAATGATGCTCTCCACTCATCCACAACTCTATTGCCACGCCATAAATCACCCAAATCCAACTGGAACAGAATTAGGTATCAGGGATACCTAAATGGGGTAAATGGGGTTTTTAGAAAACCCAATTTATCCCATTTTTTTATATTCCAGCTTTAATTCGTCCACTTCCGTCATATCTCTCGTAATTATACGTCTTTTGAGAGGGAATTATAGGGGTTTTGACGTATAATTTAGCACTGTGCTGGGTCTGTTCGGCGCAAGATTTTCCTACAGAAATTCGCTGTTTTGGAGTGAAATTCGTGTTAATTGGTAGCTAGATGGACTGGTACTGTAATTTCAGGGTATCTATACTGAGAGGTGTGTATTTCTCAGTGTATATACAGTGGGAGGAGTGTATTTCTCAGTGTATATACAGTAGGAGGTGTGCATTTCTCATTGTATATACACTGAGACGTGTGTGTCTCTCAGTGCATGTACACTGAGAGGTATATCTCCCATTGTATATACACTGAGAGGTATAACTCCTAGTGTATATACACTGAGAGCTGTATATCTCAGTGTACATACACTGAGAGCTGTATATCTCAGTGTATATACACTGAGAGCTGTATATCTCAGTGTGTATACACTGAGAGCTGTATATCTCAGTGTATATACACTGAGAGCTGTATATCTCAGTGTATATACACTAGTAAGGTGTATCTTCCATTGTATATACACTGAAAGGTATATCTCCTAGTGTATATACACTGACAGTTTACATGTCAGTTCTATTTTAGCTGTAAAAATATCTTAGCTGTCAAACGGGTTCCTGTAAGTCTGACTGGGAACGCACGGAAATGTGAGTCGCCGAGGGTCGTATCTCGTGTCCGTGATAGCAGAAACAGTACACTAGGCTACTGCATTATGACGAGCCACTGCACACACACAACTTGTTAATCTCACAGGGAACACGAACACGTGTGGTCAACACGTAACACGGAGACGCACACACACCAACACACACACACACTAACACACAATAGTCACACACACACTCACACAACTCTCACACACTCACACACACAATCACCATTATCTTAAGACTTTAAATCGCCATGAAGTCAGCAAGAGCTTCCCTTTAAAAATCTCCTAGCACTTTTGGCTGAATGTTCAGTTAGCTTGGATTGTTATGGCCAACCATTACGATTAGCTGTGAGGACACCAGACGATTATTATATTCAATGTCAATACCCAGGAATAATCATGTACAGAAGGCAAATCATTAAACTAATCGGAATGTAAAATTAAGGGAGAACGTATTAAAAATATATCTATATCTATCTATCTATCTATTATCTATCTATCTATTTATCTATAGATCTATTATATCTATCTATCTATATTATACTATATATATAATAATATATATATTATATATATATACTATCATATTATATATATATATACTATAATATATATGTATATATATATATATATATATATAATTATTATTATATTAATATAATAATCAATAATAATAATAATATCATAATACTATATATAATAATGTTAAATTATCTGTGATTAAGATGGAGTTTTAAATTCCTGCAGAAAATCCATCTATTTTAAGATAATTAAAATTAAGAAGCTGAAACGTGGAATGTGGTGTAATCAGGTCGATGCTGAAGGTAGAGTGTGCGTGGTAGATTAAGTGGTGTGAAGTATGGTGGGTTCGTGCGTGAGTAGTAGGTAGGTAGTGGTGGTAGTGGTGTGCTTAAGTGGTGGTAGTGGTGGTAGTGCGTGCTGGTAAAGTGGTATTGAGTAGTTTGTCGTTAGATGTGTCGGTAGTAGTGTCGGTAGTCGTGTGTGGTAGTGAGTGGTAGTGATGTGTAGTGGTGGTAGTGGTTAGTGGTGTGCTAGTGGTGGGGTGGTTGGTCGTTAGTTTTGATGGTGGTAGTGGTGAGCAAGTAGTACGTGGATGGTTGGTGGTTAAATGGTGGTTTCAAGAATATCTACTACACAGAGTGTGTCATTAAGATTGTGTTGGGTGAGTTAATGGGGTTTCCATGACTGCCTTGATATACTACACGAGGGGTCACTTAGTGTGGTATGGACTGGTTATTTATGCGGGTTTCAAGATATTCTATACACGGGGTCAATTAAGGCTGTTAGGTGGTTAATGGAGTGTTATCACGACTGTTCTACTAACACGAGCGGGGCATTAAGGTTGTTGGATTGGTTAAATGGCGGTGTCATGATCGTATCTATTACCACGAGAGCGTCAATTAAGGATCTGACGTTGGTTGCAGTTATTGGTGGTTCACAGACTATCTACTATCACGAGATGGTCCATTAAGATCTGGGTTGGTTGGTTAATGGGTAGCGGGTTTCCAGTACTATCTACTACACGAGGTGTCATTAAAGACTTTAGTTGCAGCGTCAATTTGGGGTTATGGATGGTTTCAAGAATATCTACCTACACGCAGGGTCATTAAGACTGGTTGTTGAGTTAATGGCTGGTTTCAAGCTATATACTACAACTTGAGTGGTCATTAACGCCTTGGTTGAGTTTGTTTATGGTGTTTCACAAGACTATCTACTACAACTAAGAAGGGTCATCAAGGCTGGTTGGTTGGTTAATGGGTTTCAAGGATTATTACTACACGAGAGTCATTAAAGCTACATGTCACCTGTACACACAGTCAAGATTACTTTAATACCTACCAAATACTGATTAATGTAAACTTCCAGTGTATAATACACGCGATATACACCTCTCAGTGTATATACACTGAGCTATACACATACTCAGTGTATTCACACTGAGATATGCACTCTCAGTGTATATTACACTGTGATATACCACCTCTCAGTGTATATACTATGAGATAAGCACCTCAGTGGTATATACACTGTAGATATACACCTCTCCAGTGTATTATCTATCATGAAGATTATACACCTTCATGAATGTATTACTGGGAGATATACACCTCTCAGTTGGTATATACACTGAGATATACACTCTCTGTGTTATACACCTGAGATATACACCTTATCCAGCTGTATTATACACTGAGTTATACACCTCTAATAGTATATAAACTGAGATATACACCCTACTCAGTGTATATACACCTGATGATTTTACACCTCTCCTGTATATGCACTGCAGATATACAACCTCTCAGTGTATATACACTGAGATATACACCTTCTAGTTATATACACTGAGGATATACTACCTCTCAGTGTATATATCACTGAGATATAATCCTCTCAGTGTATATACACTGAGATATACACACTCTGCAGTGTATATACACTGAGATATATAATCTCAGGGTCTCTGTGATATATACATGAAAACAACATTTCACGTCGAATGTGAGTGGTGGTACTAAATCCAGTGTGTGAGACTGTGACTAAAATGGATTCATCTGATGTTACCAACTGTCCACCTATAATCTTGTTATTAATATACCTCTAATTAATCAATGATTCTATTATGATCTGTCGCACATGGAGTCCACTCTGGCAAGTGCATCCAATCAAGGGATTCCACAATCAAGCTGAAATTGTAATCCTGCTAGTGCATGCATTTCTCC